TCTGAAACTTCGTCTTCTTTCGGCTGCTTTCAGTATCTTAGCTTGTCTGTACTTTTTAAGATCCTCCTGCAAAGCTGTTCTGCAACTGGCGTTGGCTAGCAATCGCTCGAGTTGTATTTGAATCTTGCCTCAGAAATCTTCTTCTTTAGAGTCTCCTTGGTGGTCTTCGAAATACTTGCCAAGTTCTTCTCATAAGTGCTGAGATGCACTTTCCGCAGGCTCGCAATCCTTTGAAAAGCCGGTCGTAGTCGTATGTTGGATCCTCCTCGATGAGCCAATCACAACTTGATATAAGCTCTTCAGCCTCTTACTGTCGTAAACGACTTTCTTCATTCTTGCGGCACCGTGACATACTTTCTTTTCCAGCCCTCGACTGTATCGTATCTTCGCTCGAAGGAGGCGGTTTGAAGCCACTGCAGAAGGATGGAACTACTGAGGTATCGAGCAAGCTCCACCTTCGGTTAAGAATATGGTCGATCCCCGCGTGAGTCGTTCCGTTGGGCGATTCCATGTTTTTTTTCTAAAAATGGAATGGAGTTCTAAAATTTGGCATGTCTGCAAGCATATAAACTGACTATCGGCAACTCAACTCCTTTTCCAATATAATTTATGAATGCGCATCCTTTGATCATGCAATGAAAATGATCAGGTTTTGTTCAATCACAAAAAAATGCTTATTTGATTTCTGCTCAAGACTTTTTTGAGCTCTTTTCTGCTTTTGTGATTCTTTTCGATGGATCGTCTTAAAATCGATTGTTACATGAAATCTGAAGATATCTTTGCTTTTTAGATGATTACAGCAGTAGATACGAAAAAATATTGGTGATTCATTTGCATAATCTAAACTAACGAAGGAACGTTATGAAGAGAAGATGTCTAGAAGGAATATACACTCTCTCACTCCAAGATGTTTGAACGCTCAATTTTGCTTTGTGTGCATCCACAACCAGCCATTCGCAACATTCCAACTTCGACTGTGATCTGAATTAATTCCTCGCTCGTCAATTTTCTTCTTCTGTCAAACTTGAAGTAATTTCGTAAAAAAAAAGGGCACGACGCGCTCAGGCATTGAAAATTATGTTCTTTACTTAGTTGCTAAGTCACCAACACGATGATGGGAAAGAAAAATAATACTGGAGAGCAGCGCTTGCGATCAAGCCACTTTTAACGTCTTGCACCTTGTACACCCTTGTGCTTTCCTCAAGAAATTCAAGTCTAGTTTCGTGCTCAATGTCCTTCTCTGCAAGTGTCTTCGTAGTTTTGTGTTAGCAAGAGCGGTGAGCATCAATATTCTCATAGGTACAAGGGAGTTTCTTTTCTTAAGTTGAACTTGAAATTGTGAATTCAGGCGTTTTTCGCTACAGTCCTAGAGCTTCACATGGAGGGAATTGTGAATCCTGGCGTTTTTCGCTACAGTCCCAGAGCTTCACATGGAGGGAATCTCTATTATTTATACCTGGAAATGTTGTAACCATGTTCAGTATCTGAGAGCTTGCTACGATGAAAGCGAGTGCGCAGTTGTGGAATACAATGGATTTTTAAAATACTTAAATACTTCAAGAAGGTATCGCGTATGTTTTTGGTAAATTAAATGACTTCAGACCAATGCCGGCCCCTGCAGACTGCACAGAGACGGCAGTGTATATGGCCCAGTGCAGAGATACGTACTTTTCTTGATGAAACTGGTTCGTCGTGCATGACAGAGGCAGCCACTCTCGAAATACAGTATTAAAGAATAACAACCAAAAAATACCAAGACAAATAGATTTTGTTATAAAGGAGTGCAAAATCACTCCTGCTGATGTGACTGTAATCAGCCTCATGAGCGTTTAAACACTCACCGCTTCTTTTTTCCCAATTCTGTTGAAGCTACATTCAAACCTACAAAGCCAGTAGAAGTATAGTTTTTTCCAAATAATTTTCCACTCTCTACAAAACTGTATTCAAGCTCATCCTCTCCAAGAGAGCGGAAGAAAACTGTGCAGCAGTACCTGTCTTTCACAAAGCAGTTGAGTACATAGAGGTGTGAGGGTGAAGTATGGTAATTAATTTACCTCATTATTTGCATTCAAGGCGCTCACTTGCTTTTCAAATGAATCTGCTCACACAATTGCAACTGAAATCCGAATTACAACGACGTTCACAATTTGTGATTAAACGACAGTGGTCACGGAATTTGCAACTTTCTCAGACAATCGCCGGGGGCAGGCGGGCACCGGAAAAATAGATTGCTGATCTCTGCACCCCGCTCGCGAATTTTTTGGAAAGCAATCAGGACTTTTCGGAAGACCGCTTGCTGAGTTCTCGATTCCTCAGAGATTCAGCAATATATCTGCAAAAGATAAGAGCGAAAAAAATTCAACAGGCGGTCTCTCAAAAATCCGCTGACTCAGCAAGCGGTCTTCCAAAAAGTCCTGATTGCTTTGCAAAAAATCCGCCTGAATAGCATTTTGGCATAGTAGGCCGTCACTACAACAGCTTTAAGGATAGTGGCCGTCATAGATTAGATTTTACCGAGCAAATTTCTGGATTTTAACGGCTCGCTTGGGATCACCGAGCTTCGGAAAGTTCCATTCTTCCATTCTTATCTCTGCATGAAATCAGTTTAAAGCAACTAGACCATTGTTAGAAAGTACATGCTCATTCAATTCGAGCAGAATCCTTCTGACGAAAAAACTACGATTTCTTGAAAATCATGCGAACGAACTTTCTATTCACCCTAATACAATCTTGGGCGTAACCTCAAGGTTTGCCAAAAACTCTAATTTAATGACAATTTAGACTTTCGTCAAATGTATCTTGGAGAGATCTACAACGTCACAAAAAACGTAGATAACTGTGTACCAGAGTTTTCGAGCATGTTCTTTTTCTTGATCCCTGTGCTGAGATGTGTAATCACATTTCTGAAGAACGTTTTCCTGATAAAACTTGTGAAGGGAGCATGAACGGAGTGGAAATTTCACTAAGATCAGAGAACGTCTAGTGGAAAAAATTTTGGTTTGTTTGATTTCTTCTTTGACGGAAAATGCGCTCTTGACGCTCAAAAACTTTCTTCAAAGCTTTTACCGTAATCTTACAGTAAAAAAATCGGGAATTCGCTTTATGCTGTAGAAATAAGTTGAAGCCAGCTCAACAAAATGGAACCTAAAGTTCTATAAAAGACATCAAAACAGAAGAGTTATTTGAAAATGAGAACAAATAGTGTGCACATCTTTTTGGGACACCCTGTATTACAACAACCGCGAAGGAGCGGTACATGGAAGTCATTCTAGTAGAGTGCTAAAAGACAGAGATTGGCTTGCTGCAGGTCTTTGCAGATTATGATAAGACATCCACAAAAGAGCGGTAAGGAGTGCGTACTGCCACAGAGGAAGGATTGGCGTAAAAACCATGGCTATTGCCTCGCGTAATGAAGCGCAAATGATTCCTCCTGTCTAGTGTGTTAACTTTTGCTTTGATGCCCAAGTACAGTACCTGATACAGGAATGCCATAAGTAAGTAGGCGTGTTCTTAATCGTTAATAACTCTCTTCCTACGAAGCCGTTTGCTCAGCTTCAAGATTTAGTATGGCGCGAAGCATCCGTCGCTTTTCATTACTGTAGGATTACGGTAGAAACATCCATCATACAGAGTCATTGTGAGAAGACCGTTTGAGAAAAAGGTTCCAAAAATCTAAGGAGTTGTAAGGCGAGGTTTTTATTCTTGCCGATTTCACTGCACAACTTTTCACAAGTTCTTGAACTTTCTGAATCGCCTAATTACAATATGTAAAAAACGATAAAAGGAGAACGTTATTGCGGTTTACGTGGCATAACTCGTGAAAAAAAGCCTCACGGTAAAGTGAAAATTTCATACTGATGGTCAGGTTTTCGGCTCGTTGAGTGCCAGTTCTGAAGTAATATGTAGCCATTGATGGTTTTAAACCCTCTTCAAGGTTTTACTTATTTCTACATATTGAAGAGCGCGGATGGTTCGCTGCTCTAGATCTTATTATTAGTAGGAATCTGTTCTCCCAATGGTACTCAGAGCTAAGCAAATAACTTTGTGAGAAAAGATCACTAACGATCCAAAACTGAGTAGTTACTTTGGGACACCTTTTGGGACATTGGTTATGTGGCATAGAAGTGGCCGAATTTGCGGCAAAACTTTCCAGACTACAAGCCGCGAAGCGGAACCGTTCGCATATGGATACTGCGCAGCCGGCAACACGACGCTCTAGACTGGTGTCTAGCTAATGAAGATTAACACTATAAAGAACGCCAAGATGACTGATTGTCAATGATTTATCTAAATGGGGTAGTTGTATGCATACCACTGACAGCTGGTAAGTATATCTCTGCATGTAATGATGTGTTCAAAAGTTGTCATTGCGAAAAAGCGCGCCATCGTAAAAGTACACCTTCAAAGAAGTGTAAAAATATCCAGTTGAACTATCTCGGCTCGAGAAATCTCAAGCACTTATTGTACTTGTTCCTAGATTTTACTGAAAAAATTCGACACAACTTCTAAAAGGTCGCGAAAACCCCGTAACTTTCGTTCGCTAACCTCACCTCAACTCACTCGATAAGGTCGCCTTCCTATTTATCTGCGATGTGCGATGTCCTCGAAAGTAGAAAGTGGAGCTAAGATTTTCTACAAAAATTTTTACGCCTTACCAATAGCGCGTTACCAGTAGTGCATTTTTCTCTGCGCGCGCAGAGAAAAATGCACTTTCAGGTCACTATTATGCGAACTTAGCCCTCGAACGCCAATTTTTTTGCTCTGTCCGGCTTAGAGTTACTCAGAATGCATGCGCATACAATTTACATTCTGAAACGATTTTATACAAAATTATAGCGGTCGTAATGCTGTCAATGGTTAAGAAGTATACTTCGTGGCCATTTTCAAAAAAATTATGCCCCTCACTTGTTGCTAAGTCACAAAGCAAAATGATGGGAGGGAAGACGACATTGAACAACCCCGCTTCACCAAGCCACTTCTAGGTCTGTGGGCTTGTTTACATGTACATGTTCTCCAAAACAATCTTCACCGTTCTGTTCTTAGCAAGAACGGTAAGCAACAAATCTTTATAAGTATGCGGCACACTTTCTTAGATAGAGCTTCAGACCTTAAGTTCTGGCGTATTTCGTTACGATCCCGAAGCTCTATGTGGAAGCCCCATGTACTTCTTATATCTGGACAGCGAAGTTCAGTGCCTTAGAGCTTGCTATGAAGAAAGCGAGTGTGCAGTCGTACAGTACAATGAAGTGTGTGGTATACATAATTTGTAAAGGTGATTTATGCATTTTCCGTTAACTACTATTTCAGACCGATGATGGCTACTGCAGGTTGTACAGAAGCGGCAAGACAGACCGCAAAGTCCAGGGATACGTGCTCTTCCGCGAAGAAACTGATTCGTCGTGCATGTCAGAGATAACCACCGGCGAATTATCATTTCAGAAAATACCACGTCAAGAAAGTGCTATTACGGTGGAATGCAGTATGACCCACGATGTTGCTGTTATCCAGCCCTATGAACGTAATGAGAAATACCGTTTCTTCCTACTTGAACCAGCTAACCCTCAACTTACTATGCAAGCTAGGGGACCCAGGTAAGGTGGATTGTCTATCAAAAAGCACCAGTAGCTGATTTCTGAGTGTTAACAGAAGCAGTTGTGTTTATACAATTTGTTAGCAATTCTTTTAATCTTCGTTTAGGCTTTTCTTCTCCAAACCAGAGAAATTTTGTACCGCCGTACCAGTATTTCACAGAGCAAGTGAGTATTTGGTGAGGCCAACGTTTATTAAACATCTTTTTCGCGCAGTTAAAATGCACAATTGTTCTCTAATGTGCTACTTTCGATAGCAAATCTCAAGTTGAACTGAGAAATTGCGAAGCTTATGCGCAGAACACAAGCAGCTGAAAGTATATCATATAGTATGGATTAAGTGAATGTATACTATATGATATACTTTCAACTACTGCTTGCGTTCTGCGCATAAGCTTTCTCGCCTTTGACAAACATAGCTCGCGAAACAATTCACTGCAGAAGACCACCCCCCCCCCCCCCGTTAGAGTTCAGCGTTGACTCACCGCTGGGCGTAACATAGCTTTTTGTCAAAAAAAATCTTTGTATAATCATTTAGATTCCCATCGCCTATATTTTGGAAGAATCTACAATGCCACTGGCTACTTCTTCTACAACGCGTACGCCTTCACGGACTACTGCGTTTCTGCGCAGGGTGAATGTTTGGGTGTGCAGGAGATCCAAGAATATGTGGACGGACATGGCAATTTTTTTTACGATGAGCCTAAAAGAGAGAATATGACAGACTCTGGCCTGGAACAAACGTTCTACATTGTAGGCATCAAACATTAGATGATGCTGTTTGGGTTAAACTATGACTGACTGTTAGTACTATTACCCTATTTTCAGGTGTATAAGCCGCACTTTTTCAATTTTTCGCCCGGGCTGCTCAGCCGCCTTATTGTGTTTCGAGAAGCGATCCTTATGCCTCAAGATTCTTTCAAGCAATACGCAGCACGGTATAGGGTCCTTTGGATGCGAGGTCCATTGATATGTTCTGGCTGATCGATGTAAGCTAGGACCACCCCGCGGCTTATACACCTGAAAATGGGGTACATGGAGCTTTGTCGACAACCATTGCAGTGATGTAGTGATTATCAAAAGTGCAAAATGTTTTTTATTCTCCGAAAACAATTTTAAAAGATGTTTATTTCTTGTTGACAGAAGCCATACATTGCTAAAGAGCTCACACAGTTATTCTCCAAGAATATGTCCAAATAAATTTGAAACTAACAAGCAAAGAGTAATATTAGTGAGAAGTCTGAGTTATTGTAACAATTATTGCAAGCAAAAGTCTTGCGTTATTGGTATGTCTCGCAATTCAAACTATTCTTATCGGAATGGGGATTTGATCTCAAATTTGAAGTGTGCTGTACCAGTACCAAAAATCACATCATATTCTGTTGTCTATAACCATGTAGAAACTGGACATACACACTTCAGAAATAAGAAACTTCCCAAGACTTGTTGATTTCTCCTCAAAATTCATACCATAACTGAGGATGGAGAAAAGGGCTGACCTATGCAAAGTTGAAATGTTGTATTCAAAGAACGATGATTGACCTTGCTTGACGCTGTTAATATTGAAATAAGCTTATTATATTACACAAATTACAAAAAAGAAAATTTGTAATTTTACAACTTGATTTGAATTTAGCTTATCATTATATTGCATTTCTACTATGGATAATCATGATAAGATTTCTAAGCATTAATGTGAGGGCACCAACAAAGACGGTAGTCGATCCCCACCTCGAGTGACAGCGCAGAAGCTGTAGTGGTCATGTAAGGAGTGACTGTTCCTCACTCAGTTCTTTGAGCATCTCAGGTACCCTAATTTCACGCGTACAAGGCGCGGAGTGGTCCTAGCTTTCATCGACCAGCCCAAACACGGCAAAGGACTTCGCAACCAAAGGAACCCCATACCGTGCTGCGTTTTGCCTGACGAATCGTGCGGCATAAGGATCGCTTCTTAAAACACGTTGGGGCGGCTGAGCAGCTCTTTGAAAGCTAGGACCACCCCGCGCCTTGTACGCGTGAAATTAGGGTAAATCATTACCAAACCGAAGTTACCTATATAGGTGAAGGATGGGCCGATCGATTGATCGATGGTTGAGTTGGAAGCGACCGTTCAAAGGTTGGCAAGTCTAGGAGACGGTCAAGAGGCGCGTTTCTTCGGCTGTCACCAACTTGAAACTTCAGTTTAGGGTCATGCGTCAAAAATTACCAGATAAAGTGCATTAGCCTACTGTCTGTCTGAGGTCACCACCTGCTGAGTTTCATGGTTTTTGCTTTGAATCGGACTGAAATACTTACGAATTTGTTCTGAAATGTATTTTCATGAGTTTTCAACCTTCAAAATTGCTGTGTTGAATTTCTTCTAGAGAATCATTATTGAATAACTCATGTGACTATCTAATATATCTTCTTCTAAATTCTATATACTTTTAAAAAGTTGCAAAACACTTATTATGTGCTATTTGGTGTCCAGCTGCCAATAAAAATCGCGCCTCTTGACATACACCCGAGAAGTCTGAAAGAGCAGATTTCCCAGCTGTAGCAGTATTTCTGCGAAAAGCGAGGCAGCTCGAGGACTGGAACGGCAACGGACTCCTTCGTAAAGCAAGCAACTTGCGAGAAACAGGGTTCCCAAATTATTCACATTCACATCATTTAAAGTGATTTACAAACATGCACAAAGTTACTGAAATCAGCTCCACTAAGAACTTGAAATTAGCAGAAAAGGTTTTATTACGCTGTCTCATAATTTTTTACCGTTTTGAGTTTTCTTTAGTTTTTTTATCCAGATTTCATTGATTTTTTCTGAAAAATGACAGTAATTAGAGGGCAGTCTAAACTAACTGCTATGGGTATATAAGCACGTGGCAAGTCCACTGAAATTAGTTTGAGCCAAAATGGGTAAGACCTTTATTCGTGCCATTATTTTCTATGAACATCATGAACGCACCAAAGCGAGTGTGACGGCAGCCAAGATCAGCGACGTCTTTGGGCCAGACACTACTACGCATCGCACAGCTCGCAACTGTTATAATCGCTTTGACAACGGCGAAAGACAGTTCGAAAAATTGGAGCACTCCGGGCGACTCAGGACTTGAATGAAGAGGCTTTACGACGACGATTGCTTGACACCTGCACTCCATGGGTTATCTTAAAGTACTGTCAAGATGGATACATCACTCCTTGACCGATGAGGACCGTGCTGGGTGAGTCAGCATCGCAGAAAGTCTTCTGCTGCATCCGCATAGGACAGACTTTCTTGCTTCTATTGTTACTAGCTACGATTCTTGGGTCTACTACGAAAAGACTAAACGTCATGCCTACTGGCTTCCTTTAAAAGAGATACCGCCAGTGCAATAAAAATCTGATCTCCATCGACGCAAAATTCGTCTCAGCGTTTTCTGGGATGCTGAAGGCATGCTATTTAACTGCTCGAACACAATCAGAATAGTAACCTCGACCGCTGTGTGAAACAGCTCGAGAAGTTGGCCAATATTACAAGAGAAAAGTGCCCGAAAATACTGGAACTCGTACTCTTACACGACAACGCTTGATCACACACAATGAAATTCATTTGCCGATTTTTGCAAAATCTCGGATGGACAACAGCGTTGCACCCACTCTACAGCCCCGATCTTGCGCCATCGATGACCATCTTTTTCGAGCTTTGAAGATGCACATGCGCGAAAAAAGAATTCACAAATTACGAGACTTTCAAAACCGATCTTCTGGACATTTTTTGACTCACAGTCTCGTTCTTTCTGGAGCAAGAGCATCGGGGCTGTGCTCAGTAAATGGTATTCTGTCCATGCGGTAATGGTAATTATATCGTTGATTGAAAAGTCAGTTTTAGATTTCAAAAGAAACAAGGCAGCAAAAAACGGCATGAAAAATTTTTTTTTAGACAGCCTAATAGGGCTCTTAGGCTTCCTGACATTCGGCTAATTTGCAGGCTATGTCGAAATTCCTACAGTAATTCTACACTGAGAAGAGGCGGAGTACTGTGTTTCCTAAAAGCCTAAATTGATGCCAGCCCTGCAAAACATGCCTGTCGATTGGCGAAAAACATTAGGGTAAGGCCTCAGACAGAGTTCACGCGATTTTATCGCTTGACGACTCTTTTAGCAAGACAGCTGTTACGAGTCCTTTGTTCCGATTACTTTGCACATTTCGGTTGACAGTTAGTTACGACTGGTCATCTCGTAAACTATCACAACTGGAATACACGTTCATCGGCATGCGATGAACTCGTAGCAGTTGTTCTGTTGGAGAACAGCGAGGCGATGAAATTGCGTGAACTCTGACCAAGACCTAAAAAAATATTTTAGATCAAACAGTAGAGACATTTTCTAAGATAGCCTGCATATTTGCACGCTAGTGATTAGTAGGTTATTTCGAATGGAGATCCAAGTTACTGTATGATCAGTTTTTAGCTTCAAAAGACTATCGAAACTCCATTGAATCGTAACTCATTAATGCTATGAAAGTGTTATCAAAAAGTTCTCGCCTTTGCTCGCGCAATGATTTACGACCCGTCCCCTTGCTCATGGATGTATTAATTTGTAACATAAGCCTTTAGACACTCTAACTTCTTACGACGAAAATTCATACAGCTCGCATTCAGTAGGAATGCAGGGCATTCGGTAGAGCAAAGCAGGCTCCATTAGGAGGTGTGCAAAAGTTCGTACAAACTTTGACCCACTCTAAGTTTGCATCCAAAATCTGAGTCGTACTGAAGGCTAAATCGCGAAAAATTTATATCTTCGTTCAAAGAAATCCTTTTTCCAACTTGCTTACAAAACTTGCACACCACATCAGACACTCATTATACAGGGTGTCCCAAAAAAATGTGCCTACTGTTTGATTGTAAATAACTCTATTTTAATGAAGTGTTTCGAGAAGCTTTAGGTACCGTTTTGTAGAGCGAGGTTGAACTTGGATTTACAGTATGGAACGAATCATCGATCGCTCTTCATTATTGTAAGATTACGGTATGAACTTCCAGCATATGGAACCATTGTGAAATATGCCATTTAACAAAATTTTTTTCAAAAAACCTGAAAAATCGTATACTAGGGTTTTCGCGCATGCTGATTCCACTTAACAACTTTTTACGAGTGTTTTCAGCTTTTTTGACGGTGTAATTACATTTCTGACAAATGCAAGGAATTGATTTATCACGATTTACCGGCGATAACTTAGGAAAGAAGCATCACAGTAAAATGGGAATTTCAAATTCGAGATCAGCGGCTCCCATTACCGTAATGTAAGAGTTTCTGGCTTGTTTGGTTTTATTCCGAGGCAGAATATAGCCTCCAATGACATAAAATCCTTGTCGAAGTTCGTACCGTAATCCTACAGTAATGAAGAGCGATAGATGATTCGCTCCCATAATGCAAATCTAAGTTCAAGCTCGCTTTACAAAACGGTACCTAAAGCTTCTCGAAACACTTCATTACAATAGAGTTTACAATCAAACAGTAGGCACATTTTTTTGGGACACCCTGTATATCGTTCCTGTACTTCTTCCTCATTTAGAAATTGAGAGTACGGGAATTTTCATGTTCATACAAAAGCAAGTTATGCTGTTTCCATTCACGTAGCTGTATAGTACAAGCCCTTAGGAGTACAACCGTAGATTTTCAATTTCCATAGGCCCTAGTTTTCGAAAATCACCGACTTTAGCTCTCCTCAATCGGGTGTTCCATGCTAATATCAATATTTCTCGAAAACTAGGGCTTGTGGAAAGCTGAAAATTTATGGTTATACTTTTG